CTAAGTGAAGGTGAAACACTATGTGTTTGTGTGCAATAGTATGGACTAAAACACCTAGAACACAAAGAGAGTAAAAGAGAGATAGAATGTATATCTAACCCTAACCCTAAAACCAGAGCTTCTCTCTGCGTTTTTTGTCTCTAAAATGTCTAGAGTCTCTAACCCTAAAGCCAAGAGACAAGGCTCTCTCTTATAGAGCTTTTTGTCTTGTAAAGCTTGCAAGACAAGCTTCCAAGAGAGAGATCCCTCCATATACGTGTATGGAGGGGAGCCAAAAGCAAGACAGTTGTGATAAAATATCTGCAAAAGCAGATGCACAGTAGTCGGCCGGCCAAAAATGCCATTTTGGCAAAAAAGAGTGCCGACCGGCAACAAAAGGTGCCGACCGGCAACAAACAGTGCCAATGGCAGCAAAAACCAGCCGGTGGCCTCTAGCCACTGCCGGTGGTGTGTGGGGATGCCTCACAAAGCATTCTCTGCCCCTCCAAGGCAAAACACAAGTTTTTGGTGCAAAACCAGACACTAAACAGTCGAGTTCGGAGATCCTGAGGCAAGGCGCGTAGCCGAGACCTCTGAGAACTCCAAACGAACACAAACATGGATAATCACCAAGTGTTCAAACGGTGACGTCCAAGTCTTGAGGACTGTCAAAAATGGGGTGTCTAAAACTACGTGATCAAAAATTCAAGCGTTCAAAACGCAAACAGAATACTCTATCATGGGCTAAGCGTCGGAACAAGCTACGTGCTAAAAAGAGCAGATATGCATAGCAAGAGGCATGAAACGTACAAAAAGGTGAAATACGTTGCAGAAATGTAAAAAAGGCGAAATAAATACCTCTCGTGCCTCATGAGAGAGGTGAGACTCTGACTCTCGCAAAAGCAGATCCCCAGGCGCTCGATCATCAAAATCAGTGAAATGATAAAAAATAGCCCGCGGAAGGATATGTGCTCGAGGGATGTACCTCTCGGGTATTAAGGGTCGAACCCTCGGAGGCAGAGCCATAATATCGGGATCATCCCCGGCGCCCGGAGGACCTCCACCGTGAGGAAAATGACCGGCCATTTCAGAAAATCTACAAAAAGGAGCAAAAATGAGCAAAATGAGCAAAAATTGGAAAAAGTCAACAAAAGTCAACT